TGTCTTCTGGTAGTGCTAATGCTGAGTGGGATGACACTGAAAACAACACAATTCTCATCTCTTACACCCCCAAACATGTAGTCAGCATTTTTTTAATTGTCCTCACCTTAACATAACTGACAATCTATGGGACTTGATTACCAGGTGAAAATATCTGCGTATCAGGAATTTGTAAGTATAGTTCAGTATTTGCGTAGGGAATCTCAAACCACAGGTTTGTACAGCGTATCCTAGATCATTTTACTACATCTGTACACATGCATACTGAGGTTTGTGTGATCATTAATATAGGGTCAGAAGGTGCAGAATCGTCGGCTTAGAAAGATGACGGTCAAAATTATTTGCTAAACACATTTGTTACTAAGGCAGCGCCAGTGTGATAAGTCATGCACGCCGTTCACACAGTTGGTGACGTGAATTTTGAATCGTTAGTGCCTGGGTCTAATTCAGAGCCGTGGTTTTAGAGCATTTTAAACGCTTCTGGTAGCATGACAGTTCTTCATTTCTACCGGGTGTTGTGTGATGGATGAACTGAGTTTCCTACGGGTCATCGGTGACGTCATACTACAAAAATTTCCACTCATTGTTTTCTCAGGCCAGATCGGGATAGGCTCGGTTAATCGGAATCGCATAATAATGATCACATAAATTGCAGTATGCACATGCACAGGTGTAGTGAAATGATCCAGGATAAATAGTGCAAAGCTGTTTTCGGTTCCTCTACCAACACCTTGTTATACCCAACATAGACATTGGTTCCCTAGGTCTAAATCAACATTACTATTCGTAAAACCCTCCTGGCAGTGATTATACAGTACAGCTAATCGTGCTCATGACCAGTGCGAGGAAATTTGTCAAATACAGTGCAAATCACGATTTTGTCCGACTCCATCTAAGCTGCTCATACACTTCGTATATTCAAGAAGCGACGATCCAGCTTGATCCACCCAAGTGTATGAAAATTAAACTACTGACTGATAAAATAACTTCACGTTCACCCAGGAAGGTGCCACAATGTTCGTGGTTTGCAAACCTATTTCCCCATCATTGTGCACCAACAACCTACCACCTTCAGCTCAATGTGAAAGTATTATTCGAAGATACCAGCATACATTGAGATTTACTTTGATAAACGTTAGAGTCATTTACAGCACGCACATCTGCTCCAAGCTCAAACTAAACGACAGAACTACAGGTAAACAATGTCGATGAGTTCGTATCTCAAATATAGCCTAGCTGTATGCCTCGCACAAGTGTAACAGATTCGAATGTGTACCTAATCATAATCCGTTCTGCATTAGCTCGAGCTATTCATCGGGGTAGAGGCGTAAAATGCACTGAAACTGAACAAAATACAGTTGGAATAAGTTCATCAATCACCCCCCCCCCTCCAACACTACTCCTGGACATTGATGAAACAGAATGGTAGAACAGAATTGGAAGTACACATAATTCCCTTGTTCAACAAGTGTCATTCATAGAAAAAGAAGAAAAACGAGAGATAATGTAGATAAAACAGGACTGCAACATTTGAAATCATTCGGGACGTGTAAAGTGAACACAAGGCGCGTGAAAAGTGTGCACCGCATAGGAGCTTTGTGATCCCCAAATCGTTCTGATTTTACGACTGGTTGTAGATAACCGAGAAGAGGAGAGAGAAAAACAAGAACTGATCGTATCAGCTCGCAATCTCACCCAACTGACGAAGAGAACGGGAATAATCAACAGCATCGATGGGCACTGACCGCTTACAGAAAAAGCGGGTGGCGAAGGAGAAAGCTTGGTGAGATCGTGAGTAAAGATGCAGNNTCGTGCCTCAGGAGAGTATGGGATAGATTCTACCGTCACATACACAGAGAGAGACAAACATGAAGACTTATTTCACTATCCAACAGCCAGAACATAACTGATGGAACTCAAAAATCGGTCAGAATTACCAAAATTTGTCGAGACCAGTAAAGTGAATGACAAAAGTCTGTGTTATAGATCAAACCAGGACGTTTGAGGGTCCGGAAAACCCAGCAAAAATGTAGAAAGGAAACATGGGGCAAGAAAGAAAGCCAGAGATCGAACAATAAAGACGAGTCAAGTGGGGCCGAGCGGAATAGCATAAATGGGAGACCAAGATGACTCGACGGAAGGCTGATAGATGATGCACGAGAGGGAGAGAGAGGAATGGAGACCAAGTTGTATTGAAGCAAATAATGAACGAAAGACTTTCAACCGTGGCATTCCATGTAATGATATAATGCAAACCCAAATTAGCAAAAAAAGCAGTTCTGATCACGTTCACAAGTGAGACGACGAGTTGTACACCAGAGACGATCAAAAAACGAGACAACTCTCGAGTAAGAAAAGGGCAGTTTTTTTTTGGGGGGGGGGGGGGGGAGGGGGAGGGGGAAGAGCTGTTTATCAATTTTGTGAGCGCTCGAGGAATCTGCGGCGAACAATTCGGACATGGATTAAAATAGTCGCACGAATCTCATACTCGTCTGTGAAAAACCGAGCGAGATGTAGGGGCATTATTTTCTGAATGATCCGCATTGAAGCCAGTGTGTCAACCAAGGACAGTCAGGCAAAAGCTTCAGTTGGTTGGTCGCGGCGGAATGCGAGGATAACTGGAATTAGTGGGGCGCCTGAAAAAGTGAAGGACCAACTTTTGTAAGCATCCTGAGAAGGATAAATGTGGTACAACAGAAAACATGACCCAAATGATCATCACATAAACGGCTGGAAACACCCGCAAACCAGGCGAATGTTCGACTGCAAGCCAGTATACACTTCGAATCGCGAAATTCAATAAAAGCTGATTTGTATTTCTGATATCAGTAAAAGTTGTTATCGGTTAGGCGACAGCTTCAGCAGTACCGGATTACGATTTTATTTGTTGAACTTGATTTCATGTACCGACTTGTTACAGCTATAATCTAAATTTCAATGGAAGTTTTTTACCACACAGTCACAAAACTAATAGTTTTCATGTCAAAACCGGATAACTTGACCCTGGCACCTAGATTGGGTGAAGACCCCCTATAGACACATTTGGGTAGACTCTGGTCGGAATAAGACGAAGCAAGATGCAACGGAGAAAATATAATCTATGCATAGTGAGGGACACCGATGGCGTAAGCGCGACACGTTTTCAAATCCTATACTAAAACATTCAATATAGGATGATAAAATAAGTTGTTATCAATAAGATAATCAAACGACATTTTACGAAAGGACCATGAATTTACTGGAAACAGGAAATGTTTGGCCCATACGGAAAGTATACAACTGACACAATGAGAATCCGCCTCGATGTCCATCGCAAAATCCACGAATTGAAATGTACGCAAAGATTGTAGCATGTTCATTAAGTGCACGCTTTAAGTGATCTGTCCAATTGAGAAATGCTCACTGACGCTATGCGTGGAACTGTACCGGTTTATTTCAATTGATAACTCCATTTTCGGAAGTAGAACATTACACCTTGCAAGTGGCATCTGTCGTACTGTTGCGAGATACTACTCACTTGTGAGTAGTCGGTAACTTTCAATGATTAAAAATAGAACAAGACCATCAAGGACCAAGTAATATATTTGGGAAGAATAAACACTGCCTGCTATACCCATTGCCCCATGTGTCGCGATGTGCTGCGAAAGCATGTTTCTGATGAGCTTTTCGTGTTATGCATGCAAAATTAGTGACCTTCAATCTGTATTCTGCAATAAAGAACTCTCCTCGACCAGCACCGCCTTTTCGGAATATAACAGTATTACTTGCGCATCATTGAATACGGATTTCGTTTGGCGAAACCTGGTCGACCAAGACGGTTGTACAATATCCACCGGGATTAGTCCACTTTCGCCTCACCTCATAGTGTGATACGCCTGCTTTTTCTCTCCATACTGTGATCCAGCGAAGTAGAAAAAGCATTCTTATCTTGTGGGCCAGTCATCTCACTGTTTATTCATATTATCATGTAAACGATGCTGAAATCGCCATAATTTGCCTCATTGGACAAACACACTAGATAATGCGTTACGGGAACCAGGAGAGGCATCAATCGAACTAGATAATTCATTTAAACTAGATTAATAAAAACGGTGGCTGCAATGGGCTGGTTTTCAGTTGTTATCGTTTGAGATGCCTCGGATTCCGATCCCTCTCACCAAGTTTCCACTCCACTCCAGAGGTGGATACCTCAGTACTGTTACCCGACTGGAGTGTTATATGACTTGAGTTTCCAGATCTCAAGGACAGGAATCCGGATTAGGCATCCGTTGCAAGCTAGGGGCCAAAAACCCGGCTATTCCGATAGTGGGGAGTGGGTGTCTTGAGTTTGGGTTGGTTGACCTTCCCTTTCACCTCGCGAAATGCACCCAAACGACCAAGCATCTCAAACAGCCTCTGTTGAGGATGCCCTTCTCACCGCCTTTCCGCGGTGGGTGTTTTTTGGCAAAGTGATAGGGTAGAGACCGGGAGATTCAGCTCAAATGACTAAAGACTCTGATTCTGAACCAACCAAGAGGCGTCATACGAACCACACCCACATCTTTGTTGTGGCAGTGATCACCAGTTCAATTGGGCACCTTGGATGTTTGACCATATTCAAAAGATTTATGATCCGTTGAACTGGAGACCGGCACTCAATGATGTTTCCGAACATCCCGCTATCTTGCGGATCAGGCTTTGGCTAGTCAAAGACTCCTGTTGTAAATTCCCCCAGCAAATTCATCTGCTTCGACCCGGGGAACTAACAGTATTCCGCCCATTAGCAAATGATGGACTTTTTTCTTCTTAACAAAGGTTATTGTGACGCGAGTTGCCTGGCATACCGTCTAAAGTCAAACGCGAGCTAAATATAATGATAATAATCATAGTAATAGTGACAAAAAACTGTTCGTCATCTATATCTTAATATGAAATATAAAAACGATTAGCATCATCATCACCACAACTGCCATCATAATCATCATCCTTAACAGGTTGCAGTGTAGAAACGATCAGGAATGTCACAGTTTTTCGATATAACTACCAGATTCAGCAAATCCGAAATAGGATGGAGAACTCTGCATATACGATACCAACATGGCCAGAAACTTGTCACTTTCAAAGAACACCCTGTTTGACGAGTAACGAAAAATGATCAACGTCTATGAAGGTATCAAGAAAAGAGAAAACATGACACGGCCCGCAAATTACAACAATGTGTAGGTCAAGAAAAGGGCTGCCAACATAAATACAAGGGCAGACGCAACCATCTCTAGATAGCTGAACAGGTAAAAATTACGAAATCTACTGAGTTTCTGGGCCACGCTACAGCAACGTATACAGACTTAGTGATTCCAAATGACGGAATTGGACACAGCACGGCATACGATCGGGCTCCGTGCAACCGACTAGCCTATCTTGGCATGATCCACAGGTGCATAGGTGCAGAGCAAGTGGTTCGCGTGGAGACGGGTAGAAACAGGATGAGGAGTACCAAAGCCTGGATCATCGGGTTCCATTTGCAGCGAGAAGAGCAGACGAAACGAGAAGAGAAGTAACGATGGTGACAGCATCCGCGCGCACACACACGCACACACCAGCGAGGTGAGTAGGGAGGTGAAACACAGCAACGGCATAGTGCGGAAGGTTCGGAGCGCGTGTGATGTGTGTGTGTGGGTGGGTGTGATACAGCAGATGTCAAAGGGATCAGCAAATAAACGAACCAATCGAACGGACATGAAAATTAAAAAAAAGAAATAAAACAAGCAAACTAGACTGCGAAAAAAGCGGTGATGTTTCTACTCCCGACTGATAAGCCATTTGGTTGTAACTCACTCCGGAATAATCGGATGCCCGGCAAGAGCAGCCACCGCGGCCAAAGTAGATCCTTTGGGTGGTGGAGTTGGTGGATGGGCTTGACGCTGTGCTGAGACTGCGGTGCCGGAATGGTTCAATAACGGATCGAATTGCATCCAAGCGGCTTGGCTACCACCACCACCAACACCGTTGCCCATGTGACTCAGAGTTGTCCCACTGCCGAAATTCGTACTGCCCGCGTTGCTGGCTACAGTGCTGGGTAGATTGCCCGTGCTGGAACTGACACCGTTAGTAAAGTGGGGAGCACGACTGAGCGGTAAGTGTTTAAGGACGGATATTAAGCGGCAGGTTTGCATGCGTGAGATGTACAGGCGCAGACAGAGCGAAACATATGCGTAAAACATACACACACACACACACACACAATGAGACGGAAAGCCGGTAAACAGAGATTGAACCACGAGGGAGTGGTCCAAAGGAGAGGTTAAACAAACACGAGTGATAAGTTTCAGAAGTGAAGCACCAGCGAGGGCATCGGTAATCGTAATAGGTGGTGAACACGACGGGTACGTGATCGGGAGCCAGGTGGAGGTGGAAAGGGGAACGAAGGTGAAAAAACGAAAACCCATTCATTAACTCAATGATATAAATAACATTCTGTGGCAGACAGAAACTTGCAGCACAAAGGAGAACGGGAATGTGACTTTGAATTGTATGTGGTACAAAGAAAAGCGTTCCACCCACAGCGAATAGAAAAAACTAAGCCTTAACCGTAGCGGGAGAGCTGCGTGGCACAGTGCTAAGCCTATAAAATAAACCAGTTAGGAAAATCAGGCATGAAATCACAATTGGACGCTTCAATACAAACTGAAGACATGCACAATCCGAGCAATACATGATCAAACTGTGTCCAGTCACATTCTTAGACCGAGGGAAAGTAGTGAAGAAAAGGAAAGAGAAAGTCACGGTAATATGCATGCAGAAACGGGTATGATTGCAAAGCAGACCAGTTGGTCGTGCATGGCGACATAAATCAAATGCACTTTGAAGCCGCCAACAACTCATGTGAATGTAGAAATGGAGGGTAAGGGCACCGAAGTGGAAACCAGTTGAATGATGATCATAATGAAGAGGAGGAGGAGGAGGACAAGGTGGGGCGAGAAACGAATTCCGAGTTCTTTCTGCCCCAAAACAAACTAACGGCTAGGTAGAGGAAGCCGAGAGGAGAGGAATTGACCAGGGAAGGGGAGAGAAATGTGCATGAATTGTTGGATTACACACTAAATATGTAATTAAAACATGCGCATAACTATGATTAGTTAAGATGAAAAGCGAGGTGTTCCCCAAAACAACAATGTATCGGATATCTGGTGAGTGTGAAGCGGATCATAACAAAGATGTTCGAATTAACCAGCGACTAATTAGAAAGGGGGGACAAAAACAGACGCACATCATTCAGTCGCATTCTCACAGAAGAATGATACCCGAATGTTGGATAAACACGTGGTGCAAATGCAAAGCGAATTATAAATTCAGCTCCGAACGACAGCGCGCATCTACGTGATCTAGTTTGCATAACAAGCTAAACATTCTGGGCGCAACATGTGCATCACATTAATTCACGAGCCTTGTGGGAAGTTGAAGAACGGGCTCTCCGTGTCCCATAACCCCCCCCCCATATTGTAGGGATCCAGGGAAGCAATCACTATATCCGAAGTTTCGCCCTGTCTTCTGCTTGTCAAATCCATTGTCAGCATGCCTAGAATTGGTATCTGCGAAATGATTCACGCATCCTGTAGACGTCCAGGACAGGCTAATGAAGACTACCATTTATTTGCGGAGAATTCCTGTTTTTACAAAAATGCTCCCAATAAAGAATGAATCCTCACTGAGAAGAATCAGATCGTTCGTACTACTGTGGAGATTTAATCGTCCCTCAATATTGAATTCGTGCGAAACATACACGTAGCAACTACCAACCACGATACTGTCAAACAGATAAAACAAACAGAAATCTGCGAGAAAATTGTACAGATGTTGAACACAACCCTTCAGTAATTTCAACACGCTGACAGTTCAGACAACCGAAAACTGAGCGCGTTTGAAAACCCCAAATCGGGTGATTAAGCTCGATCCGCTATGAGCAGATTGTAACTTGAAGCCAATCTATTACACCTGGAACCGAGGGCACTACTGTGCGAGATGACTTCAAAAGATGAAGACCCCATCTGTCATGAACAATCATTACGTATAAAGTAACTCCGGTTACTGCACCAATGTGCGCTTAATTAAGCTTGACCGCTGCGAAATCATGAATCTGAGCGCCGAAGAAACTTATCTTCTAGAGCTCCTTGACTGTCGATTTTAACGTAGTTTGGTGCGGATCAGACGGAACAAACGTGCAAGTAACGCCGGAGTACGAAGACGAATACTTAAGATGAATCGATGAAGAGTTCAGTATCATAGTGAGTTGGTATTAGTGGGACTGAATAGTTAGGAAACACTTTGTGCATGCATGGCTGCCTTCAACCGCACCATGCATTATTAGCAGTTGCTGCTCCATGTTGGACAACACGTAGAGGTTAAGAAATAACGCGAAGGCGATGCGTGAAGACACAGAGCTATTAGCTAGAATATGTGTTTCCCGCATTCCATATAGGGGATCAAGACTCCGCAGCTCGCTGGATGGCGACACTGCAAGATAGATCAACGAGCCGACAGCGGTGACATGATGGTTGTCATCTCTTATCAGTGTTTTGAAACACTAAACCCATTTGTGAGTAGTAAGTTGGTTGTGCACACGGAGAGACGATTGTTGAGTGGATTAAAGGATTTAGAACTGTAACTGCAGAAAAGACGAAGAGAGTGTTGACCTGCTTGAGCACGGATCAAGAGACTCTTCATGACAAAGTATTGAAAATCGGTTCTCGTAGCTCGGGTGAACTGAATTCTATTTCGCCTGTTCGCCGAGCTTGGCAATTTGTTTGCAAACGTTTCATCACCATCCGAGGTGACATCATAAGTGCTTGTGAAGTGGCCACTTCAAACCACAAACAAACTGCCAAGCTCCGCGAATAGGCGAAATAAAAGACTCTTAATGAAACTACTAACCAACTGTTGCAGATGAATAATTCGTTCTAGGTATTCCCCAACAATGGTGATCTAATAACTAATTCTCCTAAGCCCGGCACTGCTCTTGTGGTGCTATTAAAGAAAAGGTGTACATGTATACTTAGAGTGTGGACTTTGAGTGTTGGGTAAAGAGGTCCATTTTCTTTATCCCGCGCACAAAAGGCCCAATCATTGTCTACGCTACACCGTCTCACTTACTTCGTGCACACTGTGAGTTTGGTAAAATTCGCTTCACTGCACTATACGATGATGAGCCGCTCAGGTAATAGTTGAATCTCTATTCGATCATCCATGGCAAAGCCCAAAAGCAAATGGACGCTAACGTAAAGTCTGTAATTTTTTCAACCGAAAGAGAACTCTACTCTTCGGAGTACAGTTGTCACCCACACAAGCTCGATGGTAACCAACAGCTGAAAACCATATGGAATCCGGTTAATACAGCACTGAAAGGGCTATTATCCGGCAGTTGAAAAGAAATTCAGTTACGTGTTGGATCAGACAACCAAGTCACTTCTCGGGATTCCTCAAGGGAAACGACGTTTACACGATGAATTATGCGGAGCTCTCTACATTCCCAGACGCTGATATGAGTAGTAAACCAGTGGACTGTTCACCTCATCAGATGACACCAGACAATACATGTCAGGAATCCCAGAGCACGTATAAGGAAAACGAAAT